TTATGTTTAGGGCAACTGTGTCAGCTGCAACAGTCATAAATAGGGTATCAAATTTTTTATCTGGCCATAAATAGGGTAAGGAAAATCGCAGATTTTGGTCGTAAATAGGGTAAGGGTTTTGAGAAGTGGGCCACACACCCTCACCAAATGTTTCTGGGCATACCCCCCACCCCCTCCTCTCTGGGCACAAAGCACACAGAAAATCCAATTAACCAATCAAAACTTGAAGTAAATATGTGCACCCTAGGGGAAGAGCTGGAAAACATATGCAGATGAGTCACAAATGGCTTAAGTTTTACCTCTGATTGGATGAAAAAGAGGTGTGGTCTTTTTTTAAGCCAATCATGTACCACAGTAATGCAAAACCCATTCCTTCTCAATACTCATGTGAAAATGGCTCTTAATTTATTGTTAGCACACTTGATAGTATGTGGTAGAAAGAAAGCATTGCTTGAAGGTTTATTTATTGAAAATCAATCAACTTCATTGCTCGCCTCTTACTGTCCTTACACAACTCTGCCATTGTCTTCCGACTAAAATGGGTTTAACATAGGAGTGTAGAGAGCTTTACTCTCACTCTGGCACTGCCTGCTGCACAGGCTTTTTATTTCTTAGTGCAAATAGCGATTGGGAGACTAAAAGTGAGCAAAAAAAGCATGAGCGGAAGCTGGTGGTGAGTGAGGAGCGCAGGCAACTGGGGACGAGGCATGCTCTAGCAAGTCTTACTTCCAACATGAGGTCGCAACCACATGATTATATTTTTTAATAATTAATTATGTTATAATTATATTATTTATTAATTAATATTATTTCATATTATTTAATATTCTATTGCCAGAGATTATTTTTCTGTTGTGTTTGTAGTCAGAGAAAACATTTAGGTCTCCTTAATGATTTTCATAAAAATGGTCTATGAAAGAACTACATCTGCATACAGTAGAATGGAACTGCTTGCACTTCATGACTGTGTTATTAATGTGTTGAAATTAAATCTTTCCCAGCCAAGATTCAGTCTGTCACCAGAAATCTACAGCAAGTTGCCAGCAACACCAGTGGTCAGCGCTCAATATATGCACCCCAACAAACACGATCAGTCCACGGTCATCACTTTTTTGCAGTTCCCCTTGTAAATCGACTACCAACTTTGAGGATGCAGTCAACAATCATGTTTGCCATTTTGAGAAACCAGCTCTGGCCAAACTTGGAGATGCAGTCTTCCTCAGGCAAAAACAGCACAAGATGTCTTGCCACCGTAAACCAATACAGATGGAAAAAAGTTAGAACCAAGGCAGATATGCCAAAGAAAATTATTCCTAAATCAAGGCAGGTGCTTCGTGGCCCTCAGAGAAAAGGAGTTTGTATCAAGGTTTTTACCCGAAAACCAAAGAAACCCAATTCTGGGAACCGGAAGTGTGCGCTGCTGAAACTTAGCAGTGGGAAAGTTATCACTGCGTATATTCCTGGCGAGAAAGCAGTGTTGCAGGAGCATGGTGTGGTGTTGTTTGAAGGTGGTAGAGTGCAGGACTGCCCTGGAGTCAAATATAAGATAATTAGAAAGAAGTATGACATGAACTAACGAACCAAAGTTGAGAGAATAAAGCGTTACTCCTTTTATTGGTGTAAATCAGTTTCCAGTCAAGGTACGCATCACATGTGTCGCTATTCTTATCAATTTTGTGCAAAGCCCACAAACACTTGAATGCCCTTACATTCCGCTTATAGTTTCCTTCACTCTAACTCCTCCTGCATTAGAAATTGTCATTGCTTATTGTGTTCGTGAGCGGTAAACGGAAACGGTACTCGACCAAAACACTTCAAAATCGGTAAAACGGTGAACTCTAAACGGCACAAAACTCTCTAAATGGCACAACAACTGCTCAGTGGAAACTGTCTAAAACTCTGCCGATAAACGTTCACGCAACTTAAATTCGTAAGCGCAACTAACGTACGCGTAACTTAAATTCAAAATGTTTCCGTGCGCGCGCGCGGTATTCGCGCGTCACGCCACTTCGGAACTGTCTTCTCAACATATTGTGTGTTTAGTATAGCAAACTCTAGCCTGCGAGCAGGCTCACGTTGGAGCACAAGCGTTGGAACAAAAGCACGCGCGGCGTAGCCACGAGCGCGAAATCGGCGCCTCTTCACCAGACTCCTTCACACCGGCTCGCTTTGCTTTTCGCCTCTCGCGCGCGTGACTCAAAGGTGAGCGTGCTCGCAGGCTAAATAAACTGTCTTTGATATATATTCTGTCTTCATACTTCTGAACTGGGCATTCACGATGGTAGCTGCCGGTTTCGCCCCATGGCGAGTTCGCCCCCAACCAGATCGAGTCGCATATAGAGATTATTCCTCGTTCTTTTATCCACTGCCTTATTAGATTACTGGTGGCGAGGAAACTTCACTTGGTGGCGAGGTGACTTCGCTTGGTGGCGAGACTCCCTGGTGGCGAGATGACCGGTAACCGTCCAGCGAACAATCATCATCTAAGCTTATCAAACATACATAGACTGAAATGGTTCTTCGAAAACGTTTAATAGCTCGATAACAACTGCGTAAACATGAACACTAAAAGTTGGGGGCGAACTCGAAATAGAAATTTTATAGTGGGGGCGAACTCGGTGGGCGCGAACTCGCCATAGGGCGAAACCGGTATCATTCGCTACGATACGACTTGGCAGGTTCGTTTGTTAAAGGAATCTTAAAAAAAAAAACCGACTTCTGACCGTGTTGAAAATCAGGTCAATATTTGTTTATTGGAAAACCGAACTTACAACAGTACTGGCCAGTACTCGGCTTTATAAATAACAGAGTAAAACAACGTCCGACCATGCTATGCAATCACAGTTAAAGCGCTTCGACTCTTCAACGCTTTTCGCCATCGCCGCTTGATTCAGTTGCGTGTAGCGTGCTGAAAAGCATTTGTCAGGGCACTTCAGTGGCTCTTAAAGATAAGACTCGCTATGTTAGCCGAACAAACTGATCCTGGGCAAATACGTGAGTTGAGTTTGACATATGGCACACTACACGAAAGCAGGTGATAAGATATGGGCTATTTTAATATAACTCAACTAAAAAAGATTTCAAAAAGGACCAAGAAATAATCTCTTGAAGAGACTCATTAATTACTTCGATTTTACTGCCCAAAACCTGGTCAAGACTAGTTTTTTTTATTGCCTTCAGTGGTAGCTGGAGGCCATTAAAATTTAAAATCAAACTATGGTTGCATTGCGGGCCAAGGGACTTCGTCCGGCAGTTGTTCATCGCTGAAGATAGCATGAAGAAGCTCTACAAATCAAAGTAAAGGAGGTCCGCTATCAGTTTAAGATAACTAGCCATGTTATTCATTCTACGATAGCTTCTTTTTTCACAATCTTTTAAGGCAAAGAAGTTTAACGTTTCTTTTATTTCCCAATCCGTTACAAGCAAGATTTTGATATCGATTCATCTGATGAATTTGTTACATAATCAGCTTTTGTAATTCTATTCATTCTGTCACCTTTCAAGTGTAGTCGCAATATACAGTGTTTGTTAATTAGTGTGCATTGTCCCACAAACCCTAAATATGCAGAGACGCTTCTTGAACTTTCTAACATTTACATAAGTATGGAAGACAACTTGTAAGTTTAGCTCGACATTCATTCATTATTAGTGTGTGTGTTCAAGGAATAAAACTTTTGCCAACAGGAGTAGTTAACAGAATTGTGTAATTTCAAACGTTTAAAAGTAGTACATAGCGACTTAACAATCGAATAGTGATGTGTATTTATGTAATAAATAGCATTTTACATTTATTGACCTTTTTGTTATTTTCTCTTATTAATATAACGTCCATGACAATATAATGATATTGCTTAAATAGACCTTTTTAGCTTGGGTGGTTTGTTTTCCATTACAGACCACGTGATATTCTCTACAGAATTATTGTTTTATCCATCTTAAAATTATTTATTCCGTATACACACGACTATTTGAAAATTTGAAAGGAAGAATTCTCAAGAGTATCATCACATGGTCTGAAATGGGGCACAAACCACCCAGTCGAAAAAGGTCTATTGGTACGTGTTAATTGTCATTTTTTATCAGATCAGTGTTTCTTAACTGTTAATTAATGAATTTGAAACAAAAAACATGGAAATACAGTTGAAATTATGCTAACTGTTCGGAATTTCGTTATGTGTCACCTGCTTGACGTAAACAAGAACCAAGAGAAAGTGTTCTCTTGCAAGAACTTGTGAAAATAAAAGGATAACAACTTTGACCTTTAAAACTTCCTAATGTATCTCCTTTCAGTAAACTTCTTCCGCACGGAAATAATTAATCGTCAGCCGCTGAGTAGTAACAATAAACGGCAATTTTGTTTCCCAGAATATCATTCAAATTGAATTGCTTATACTGTTCTTTCTCAGAGGGGAAATCATTTGACATTTTTTCGTTGTCAATAACCAGAACAAATTTCGCTTTCTGCGATATTGCTTTCCACAGCGTTTCATCGTTCTTTCCGCTTGACAGTCCACAGCAAAGTTCTTTGGCGCAAAACGACATCAAAATAACGTCGAACTCTTTCACGTCGTTGACGAATGTTCGATTGATTTCAACGTTTTCAAAATCGAAGCCCAGACTGTGCAAGTAGTGCATCCAACCCAGTTCAACATCATAGCCAATAAACTGCGGCGCTTGCTTTCCTCTTGAGCTAAACGGAAATGCTTCGCTCAGAAACGTTTTCACTCCACAAAGATCCGAACCTGGGCCACAACCTAAGCTTGCTATGCTCTTAACAGTCTTGAAGAATCGTTGGGGAACATGACCTTCCTCGATGGCTTTTTCGATAGCTTTTGTGGTCAAGTTTACTCGGGCGTTAAATAACTGCAGAGTGTAGTAAGCTCTGAAGTTTTGGCTAGCGTAACACATGGGTCGCCAGGACCAGTTGTTCTTAGTTCCTTGAATGTACAGTACTTTGCCCTCGCCTGGGTTCGTAAGTTGTAATTCAGCCAGTGTTTTTATGACTTCGGATGCACTTGGACGGTTTTCTTGATCCTCTGTCACAGCCCTGACCTTTCTCCTATTAAAAACTTGAGCCATTCTTCGATCGTCAAGTTTGCGTAAACACTCGCTATTGAATGAAATACTGCCTCTTGTCTTATGAGCTTATTTCAGCGAGATCCTTGCTTATAACTATCGCTAAACAAATGGTTTCGGACTCTTTTGTAGTTTCGATCGTGAAAGCGTGACAATAACACGTCTTCCATTGAACTTCCGCTCAAAATGACAATATTGTGATCTGTTGCCACCACAATAGACACTCAACATGTTTCGTTACCCCATATACGGTATGCGAATATGTGATATTACCCTGGAAGGCTAATACAATAGTCTATTCATAGAAGGTTTCACGTCACACATCCTCAACGGAACAATGATTTAAAAAGAAAACCTGCATAGTTGTATCGTTGTTTTTAAAAGATGCATTGTTTAAAAAATAATAATTGTTTCCTTCAGATAAATCCTTTTGTCCGGTTCTGCTCTTGTTATGTCCTTAAACGGTCTTGACTGCCGCTTTTATTTCCTTGCAGCTGTTTGAGGAAAACTTTATTCTCACGCAGACTACGGGATGACCAAGTCTAATTTGTTTTGTTTTGTTTTGTTTTGTTTTTTAATATCAATACACTTTCAAACACGCCAATATCTTGAATGCAAACAATCATAGACAACAGGGCGACTTCTTTAGTTTACTAGAAAATTCTCAGAACTGATATGGAGAGAAAAGTAAGCAATGAGTATGGAGAATTGAGAACGAAACATAAATACTTTTAAGATCACGTGCCTTAACCTTGAGCTTGCCGGTTTCAGCCCCGGCGGGGGGAGTAGAGGTATTCCCATGTATGAGCTATGGGTATGCGCCGCTGTGAAGGGTATGGTTTTCAGGTAGTTTAGTCTGGGAAAAGGTCACTAGAATTCAGACAGAGTTGTGGTCTATTCAAGAGTATAATCAACCGGAAAAGTGGCCAGTGTATACATAATTTAGTCTAGAACAGGGTTCTTTACCCGGGTTTCTATTAATAACAGAAATTGAAACTCGGAAGTGAGAACTTCACATAAACAGATTTGACTTTTTAGGATATTGGTTTAGTTAATGTGTGTTCAGTGTAAAATAGTTGGTCAGGCCTTTTTGGCGCCGATCGTGGTCTACTCAAGGGTAACTGCACACCCCCATCAAAAGTACCCCCGATTTGTTTTAACTCCTTCCTAATTACCGGATGCCTTTCAGAGTCAGGGAAACTCTTGATACTTATGTTGTTTGTCACGAATTCACCGGGATACAAGAAAGAAATATCGGATGAGGAGAAATAACTGTCGTAACGACGCAAAATATTCAGTGATTGTTTTCCTTGACTGGTCACATGGCAAAGGGAACTTCAATACTAATTGATTCAATTTATATATTCTGCGTAATAGGTTTTTATAATTACTTTGAATACCCTGCAAAAACAATAGCCTGCTTCCCCTCAAAAGATCAGGTTTTTTTAGGGTAGGGGGCGGATGTACATAGGCTACAAAAACAACCATGGTTAGGACTTAAAGTAAATGAGGACTTAGTTGACTGGGCGTTTTTATAAATCTCAATCGATCCGTGACTGGAAAGAACCAGGGAAAGAACTGTTATTGGCGACTGACATTTTGGCAACCTGAAACAGCGGAAATCGTCTTTAGAATAAAGATTAGGATTGACTATGTCGATAGCTGTCCTTGACAACCTTTCTAAAAGTTTGCTTTCTTCAGATAAAATGTCCTTTCTACCGAATAACTCGTCTCCAGATGCAACTGACCATTGAAACCTACGTCATCTACATCAAGAAAACTTTATTTTTGTTTTCCGCCGACCGTGAAACGTCCTTGAGCTGAGGGGAACTTTCATCTATTTTTAGAACAGTGTTCGAAATATTCCTCGACTATGAGAAAAAAGCGGGTTGATTTTATAGAACACTAAGCCGGTGACATGTTTTGTACCAATTCAACACGTACGTGACTAAAGACAGCAAGGAGACAGGCTCTAAGGAAATTATTTTAGATTAGCAGTATAGACTAGCAGAGTATAGACTATAGGTCACTATAGACTAGCAGTATAGCAGTCGAAACTTCGCGATCTACATCTTAAAGTGACTCCATCGTGAGACAACCGAGTGAAAACTCCTTGGTCGCGTAAATAGCCAACTGGTCTGCCTCCCTCCGTTGGCATTTTTAACCATGTTATGTTCATTTGCATTATTTGTTTCATCATTTGGTTTCATTGGCCCTGAAAAGCCTCATTGGGGGAGTGGTCAATTAAGATTTTTACCACAATTGCTACTAATCTCGCAATCTGATTGGCTAATTTGCCGTTGTCGATAAGATTCCAGACAACGTTGCACACGTCAATGTGTCACGCAATGCCTTTTGCAGCTCGCGCTCTGAAAAAAACGTTTGCTTTATTAGTTGATGTTGTGGTAAAAAAACAATTTTACAAAAACTGTCTAATTTCTCGCGTGCTGATTTGCTCATTTTTATCATCAATAAAAGTACAGACGGATGAAGTTTTAATTTATGAAAGCTTTCAAGTTCAAATTTCAGCTGTCAAATTATCATTTTTTTTAACAATGAGATTTTATGGACTTTTTTAAGTAGCCAATCAAAAAGTAAGAAAAGCTATCGACAATGTTCGCGTCATTTTGAATAAAATTCATTTATCTTTGTTTACGGCAAGTTTACGCGTCTAGACCCAACACTATTCACGATAACCTTACTGCCACAGAACGACAGGCCATACGCCAACTTAAACAACGACAAGATATAGTTATAAAACCCACTGACAAAGGTTCTGGTACTGTTGTTATGGACAAAACTTGGTACGTCGACGATTGTAACAGGCAACTTACTGACACGAAATTCTACCAACGCTTAAACGAAGACATAACTGCCGACACACAAAAACGTGTCACCTTTTACGTTAACAGAATGCAAAAGGACAAACTCATGAACGACAAAACCAAACAATACGTTACACAGTCTGACGTTAACCCAGGACGATTTTACATTCTACCTAAAATACATAAACCTGGTAATCCAGGACGCCCTATTGTTTCATCTAATAGCCATCCCACTGAACGCATATCCCACTTCGTTGACTACGACCTTCAACCTTTAGTTCATAACCTGCCGTCCTTTGTTAAGGACACTAACGACTTCCTCAACAAACTCCTTATCATCGGTAATTTACCCGCTAATTCCTTACTAGTTACACTTGATGTTTCATCATTACATACTAATATCCCACATAATGAAGGTATTAATGCTTGTGAGCATTTTTTACGTACTTCCTCTCATAATACCATTCCTACTGGCACACTCTGTGACCTCATTCGCATGATTCTCACCGTGAATAATTTCTCTTTTAATGATAACCACTACCTTCAAATCCATGACACCGCCATGGGTACTAAAATGGCCCCCTCTTATGCTAACCTTTTTCTAGGTTATTTCGAAGCCAACGCTTTGGAAAATGCCCCAATCCAACCCCACACTTGGTTACGATATATCGATGATATTTTTATGATCTGGACTGCAGGTCCAGATAACCTAAACATTTCCCTCGATTATCTTAACAACATTCACTCCACCATTGAATTCACCAGTTCACACTCTTCTACTAACGTACCTTTTCCTGACGTTAGTGTCTCTTTGACTAACGACGGTAGTATATCTACTGAGCTCTACACCAAACCTACAGACAAACACCAACATCTACACTATTCATCTTGCTATCCCTTACATACTAAAAAAGCCATTCCTTTCAGCCTGGCACTCCGCTTACGACGTATCTGTTCTACCGACGCCACGTTTAATGCTCGCGCGGCTCAACTTACCACTTACCTCCTTAAACGAGGTTACAACCGTAACTTCGTCATCAAACAAATACGACGAGCCGCCGACATCCCCCGCAGACTCACTTTACAAACCAAAGATGTCAACAAACCTAAACGTATACTATTTACAACCACCTTCAATCCATCACTTCCTCCCATCTCTAACATCATCAAAAAACATTACAATTAATTTGTTGCTTTCTTCTCACCGCTGCAAAAACGTTTTTCGGCATTTGCCTGTTGTAGCCTTCAGACGTTCCCCTAACCTTCGTGACTTATTAGTTGCAGCTAAACTCTCTTCTAATTCTTCCAATCCCCAACTTCCTTCTCGTTCTTTCCGTTGTGGCAAAAACTGTGCTACTTGTCTCTACATTTCTCACAGACCTACTACATATACCTTCTTTTCTACCGGGGAAACGCGCCCCATAAAATCTAACCTGAGCTGTGACACTAAAAACCACATCTACATGATTCAATGTAACCGCTGTAATTTACAATACATAGGAGAGACGAAACGACGATTAAAAGACCTATTTAATGAGCACCGCCCTACCTATGATAACCCTAACAACCAATCTAAACCTACTACAGCCGCAGAACATTTCCTGTCTTCTCCTAACCACACTGCTAACGGCATGCAATTAATCCCCGTCGAAAAAATCTTTTCGAACCGAGACTCTATCCTTAAAGCCAGGGAAGCTTTTTTATTTCAAAAAGGCAGAACAATTGATCCTGATGGTCTGAACATCCGTGAAGAAACATATTAATTGTTTCCTTTTATTATGTTCTTTTATTATGTTCTTTTATTTTACCGTATGCTTATCTTTAATTTGCACTGTCAAATAGTTTTACGTATTTCCGGTATTACGAAAATATGCTACATAAAACACGTCCCACTGTAAAATTCTCATTGTACTTGAAGAAGGCTGGTTTGGCCAGCCGAAATATAGTAGACCTTCAAAAAATCATTCTACGTTGTGTCGGTTTCTGCTTTTGTATTCTTCATTTTATGTGTGAAGCCGATTAGATCACTATTGATCTAACGTATACCAGCAGGATTATCGTTCCGGTTGCTTGCTTAAACATTGTATTTTTATTGGACAGTTTGTTATCGGACAGTTCAATAAGCCAATCACGTTCAAAGTTGTAGTTACGTGTGTGCGTGCGCGCGCTCGCGTTTGTGTTTTTGGCGCCTAATTGCCGGTAGGAGGCGCGGTGGCCTTAGAATGTTTACATCTCCTTTGTAGGTATTTCAATGCAAATTTTCCCTTTCTCTCATAACTTGGCTATTCTTCTTTTCTCGGAAATTGTAGTTTTTATGATTTGTGGGTAATAAGACTTCGCGTCGTCCAATTCGGTCTGTAATCATTCTCGTGATAAACGAATCGGACTCCCGCTGCGCGGTCGTCCGATTTTGTTATCACTCTTATGATGATAGGCTCGATTTCCACCGCCTTCTCGAGTCCGGTCTACGTTCCTCGGGGGAGGAG